AGATGAACAATATTAAACAATAATTTGAAACAATCTCCGGCCTCTTACGCTTATGCAGGTGAAAATTTACTTACAGGCTAAGCACACAGCGAGTAACTTGTTGGCCTTTGTCAAGACACTTCTCGGGGTTTCCATCAGCCTTCTTGCATTTGAGGAAGGCCAAATTCTCATTACGACAATTAGTTGATATGTGTTTCCATGATGCCATGAGGAGAGGTGAATTGGGAACAGGATCTCCTACAGCATCCACAGTGCTTGCCATTCTTCAGTAGCGTCTTCCTGGGAAAAAAATCAAATCAAATCAAATTCATAAAAGTGTCATCTATCCACACCTTCCATTTTATTACACAGACAGAGGAAATTTCCGGAAAGAAGTAAAGGTGATTGTCAGAAAACTCTAATTGCTACTTACAACATGAAATTCACTTGGGTTAATGATAATGTACTATATCCGAGTGATATATAAATTTCGTGCACTAGTTATAATTAGCAAATAATAATTCCATTCACTTACCACAGTTTCTGACAGTACTATCCACAGTAGAAGCTTAACATGTATACCAACAATATTATGTTTATATTCCCAATATAAGACAGCATAAAACATAGACATTAATTCTCAAAAATTAGCAATATTTCCAGTTCCTTAAAAAATCCACTCAAACAAGCAACCATACAATCAAAATGCATAATAATGTCAACAGAAAATTACCCAGTCCTCGTCCAAACGCAGCAGAAAAGGCATTCTGCACTGGCTAAATCATAAATCCAATTGAAGTTTCAAATTATACGAATCAATAAACCAAAAATTAAATACCTATGTGTAATTCAATAATTGACCAAAAATTCACTTAAAGGGCGAAATAACTAAATCGACAAAAAAGGGAAAAAAAGAACAAAGAACAAAGAAAATCGTTGATAAAAGTCAATGCACTATCAATTTAAGGAACAAAAAACGAAGATGAAACCTTCAGATTTTACGGGAAAATAAAGAAAAAATAAAGGAAAATTGAATCAATTGAATTATTTTAAACACTGCGTAGAAATCAAAAATAAAAACAAATAAGGTTGAAATAATTACCTTTTGTTTGTGAGCAGCAGAGTATTCAGTATCAAACCTGAAAAGTAAAAAATGGGGCACAGTGGGAGGAGAAGACCCGAGATTTCTATTTTCGTAAATAGAATTGCACCGTTGAAGCATTTATGTCTTTAAATATATTCCTGGGCCTGGGCCTGGATTGGCAATTAACCTTGTTGGGCTTGGCAGGGTAGGGAAAAATTCATTTTTCCTACTTTATCTTTACCGTATTTCAAAAATAACAAAACAACTTTCACATTTAAAAAATTTGATTTTTTAACATATACATACACATATATATAAATATATAAAAAGATATAAATAAATAAATATAATTAACCCACCCCCACCTCC